GCTCCTTCTCCACCACCTTTCCCTTCTTCCCTCTTCCTCCTTCTCCACAGCTTCATCCCCTCCTTCTTCACTAGTTGCTCCCCCTCCGTCCACCGACCTTTCTTTATTTCCCCGCTTTTTCCCCTTGTTCCCCTTCTCCACCAGCTTCTCCCTTCCTCATTTCTCCACCACTCCCTTCTCCCGCTTCCTCCTTCCCACCGAGCTTGGCTCCCCTCCTTCTTCTCCACACTTTCCCTTCTCCCCTTCCTCCTCCTTCATCTTCTCCCCCTGGCCTGCCGTTGCCCGACCAGCTTCTCCCTTGCTCGCCCCTTCCGTCATTCTCACCGAGTGTCTCCCCTCCTCGGCTTCGTCGCACCAGCTTCTCGCCCGTCCGGTCCTTCTGCCGGGGCCACCTTCTCGGACCTTGCGTCCGCCTTCCTCATTCTCACGCAGCTTCTCCGGCCGCTCCTCGCTTCGTCGCACCAGCCTTCGTCTCCTGCTCCGTTCGTCCACCAGCGCTCGACCGGATGATTCAGCAGGCAGGGTGAGAGTGGTATGGGTACGAGTTGCAGGCATATGAGGTGAGATTAGCAAATGTACAACTATTACAAGATGAGAGTGGTAGAGAAGAGTGGATCAGATGGCTGAAGTACATATGTTTAATAATTCCTTTATTACCAATGAAAAATGGAAAGTACTTTCGTAGAATATTGCAGTTACAGTGTCCTGAGGTTGGTCAATGTTCTAGGCCAGGTGATGCAAATGAATTTCTCTAACTGACTTATGTTCAATTGAATTACCATCTCATGCTATTAACCTTGCAATGTTTGCATGCATAATACCAGGAGTAAATAATCCGAAATTTTTGGAATATTTACTCGTGATAATACAGTTAATACTCATACTATGTTCGCTTACTAGTTTTTCAGCACGATAAGTTATATCATTGGAGGGGCTTCATACAGTTTACAGGACATCGAGAATGGAATACTAAGAGCAAATAGAAAAGGAGTTGGTAAGCTCGCATTTACATGACACTGTCTTCTATTATAGTTAATCAGTTTTTCGAGGTAATTTATTGGGTACAATATTAAATTGACTATAAATTTGTACAATCAGAAGTATGTATTAGCAGAAAATATGTAATATTATTTCACGGTTATGTTTACTTTGAAAATCGTGATGATCTGTGCTGTGCATGTTTCAAATTATATTTAACCATACAATTTTTTTTATTCTAGGCCAATTGTTCCGTCCATTTGGCAAGTCTGATCCTCGTCTAAAAGTGGCATTGCAATCACCTGAACCACTTATACACTTTGCACTAGTCTGTGGTGCAAAAAGCTGTCCACCAATCAAGACCTATTCTGCGAAGGTATGACATGATTGCTGTGTCACTCGTGACAGACTCTATTTAAAATCTGTATTTCTTGAGCTCCTTGTATAGTCCGACTTCTGAAACAATCAATAATAAAACCCTTCTTGGCAAAAATACTCCCAAGCAAACCAAAACTAGCGAAGACACGAGAATTTGCTTAAACCTGTATCGCATGTGAGCTACTTTTCATCAACTGTTCCTGTGCAGAACATAAATGAGGAGCTACAGATCTCTGCCAAATCATTCCTGGAGTCTGATGATGGCTGCACCCTGGATGTCTCTGGCCACGAGTTGGCGCTGTCCCAGATATTCAAGTGGTACCGGGAAGACTTCGGAAGTACGAATGAAGAGGTGAGTAGAATATGTCTTGGAATGTGCCACAATGCACATTTGTAGAATATTTTGATAACTTCTGTCAGGCTCGACTGCAACTGTATGGTACACTTGTTGTAACCACATATATATGCATCTTAGTGTCATGGTGGTTGTGTTGTGTCGTTGTGTCATTAGTGTCATGGTGGTTGTGTCATGGTGGTTGTGTCGTGTCGTTGTGTCATTAGTGTCATGGTGGTTGTGTCTCATCACATGTTGCCTACATCACATATTGCCTACATCACGTGTTGCCTACGTCACATGTTGCCTACATCACATTTTTCCTACATCACATGCTGCCTATGCTACCTGCTATATACGTGACGTGTTGCCTTTATCACATATTGTTTACGTCACCTGTTCCCTATGTCATATGTTGTCTACATCACATTTTGCCTACATCCTGTGTTGCCTACATCACATGTCACGTTGCACGCAGGCAGTGGATTACAACGGCATCGCTGAGAGCGAGGAGTTTGCGTCGTACGTGAATCTGACGCGTGAGCTTCAGCGCGTCGATGTCTCGTCGCTCAGCCGCGAGGAGAAGCTTGCCTTCTTCATCAACGTCTACAACGCGTTAGTCATCCACGCCAACATCACCGTCGGGCCGCCGCATAACCTGTGGCAGAGATACAGGGTGAGAGTGGCAGGGGTGCAGGGTGAGAGTGGCTGGGGTGCAGGGTGAGAGTGGCTGGGGTACAGGGTGAGAGTGGCTGGGGTGCAGGGTGAGAGTGGCTGGGGTCGACACAAGCCACCATGACCACTAATGACACAACGACACGCACACAAACCACCATGACACTAATGCACACAACGACACGACACAACCACCACGACACTAATGACACAACGACACGACACAAGTAACCATGACACTAATGACACAACGACACAACACAACCACCATGACACTTAATGACACAAACGACACGACACAGACCACCACGCACACACAGTAACCAAGACACTAATGACACAGACGAACACGACACAAGTAACCAAGACCACTAATGACACAACGACACGACACAAGTAACCATGACACAATGACACAACGCACACAAAACAACAACCACCATGACACTAATGACACAAACGACACGACACAACCACCCATGACACTAATGACATCAACGATCACGACACAACCACCATGGAACACAAGTAACCAAGACACTAATGACACAACGACACGACACAAGTAACCAAGACACTAATGACACAACGACACGACACAACCACCATGACACTAATGACACAACGACACGGACACAACACCACCATTGACACTTAATGACACAACGACACGACACAACCAACCTGACACCTAATGATCACAACGACAACGGACACAACCACCACAACACAAGTACACCAAGACATAATGACACTAACGACCACAAACAACCACCATGACACTAATGCACACAACGACATCGAGCACAAACCACCAATGACACTAATGACCACAACGACACGACAACGAACCACCATGACACTAATGCACACAACGACACGACACAAACCACCATGACAACTATGACACAAACGACACGAGCACAACACCACGACACTAATGACACGAACGACAGCGACACCAACCACCATGACACTAATGACACAAACGACACGACACAACCACCACGACACAAATGACACAACGACACGACACAAAACCCACCATGACACTAATGACACAACGACACGGACACAACCACCATGACACTAATGACACAACGACACGACACAACCAGCCACGACACAAATGACCACAACGCACACGACACAACCACCATGACACTAAAATGACACAACGACACGACACAAGTAACCAGAGACACTGAATGACACCAACACACGACACAACCACCATGACACTAATACACAACGACACGACACAACCACCATGACACTAAATGACACAAATCGACACGACACAACCACCATGACACTAATGACACAACGACACGACACAAGTAACCAAGACACTAATGACACAACGACACGACACAACCACCATGACACTAAATGACAGCAACGACACGACACAACCACCATGACACTAATGACACAACGACACGACACAAGTAACCAAGACACTAATGACACAACGACACGACACAAGTAACCAAGACACTAATGACACACGCACACGACACAGTAACCAAGGACACTAATGACACAACGACACGACACAACCACCACGACACAAGTAACCAAGACACTAATGACACAACGACACGACACAACCACCACGACACAAGTAACCAAGACACTATGACACAAACCACCATGACACTAACGACACAACGACACAACACAACCACCAGGGGACACTAATGACACAACGACACGCACACAACCACCACGCAACACAAGTAACCCAAGACACTAATGACACAACGACACGACACAACCACCATGACACTAATGACACAACGACACGACACAATAACCATGACACTAATGACACAACGACACGACACAACCACCATGACACTAATGACACCAACGCACACGACACAACCACCATGACACTAATGACACAACGACACAACGGACACGACACAACCCACCATGACACTAATGACACAACGACCACGACACAACCACCATGACACTAATGTTCACAACGACACGACACAACGCACCACGAACTAATGACACAACGACACGACACAACCCACCCACAACAACAAGTAACCAAGACACTAATTGGACACGAACGACACGACGACAAGTAACCAAGACACTAATGACACAACGACACGACACAACCACCATGACACTAATGACACAACGACACGACACAACCACCATGACACTAATTCAACAACGACACGACACAACCAAACGACAACAAATGTGACACAACGACACGACACAACCACCATGACACTAATGGACACAACGCACAGACAACAAACCACCATGGACACTAATGACACAACGACACCGACACAAACCAGCCACGACACTAATGACACAACGACACGACACAAACCACCATGACGACTAATGACACAACGCACACGACAACAAACCACCATGACACTTAATGACACAACGACACGACACAAACCACCATCGACACAAATGACCAACGACACGGACACAAACCACCATGACACTAATGAACAACGGACACGACAACAACAACCATGCACATCTAATGACACACACGACAGCGACACAACCACCCTGACACTAATGACACAAGCGACACGCACACCAACCCACCACGACACTAATGACACAACGACACGACACAAAGTAACCAAGACACTATGACACACTTGACACGACACAACCACCACTGACACTAATGACACAACGACACGACACAACCACCACGACCACTAATGACATCAACGCACGACACAACCCACCACGACACTAATGACACAACGACACGACACAACACCAGCACAACTAATGGACACAACGACACGCACCAACCACCACGACACAAATGAACAACGACACGACACAACACCATTGACACTAATTGACACAACGGACACGACACAACCACCATGACACTAACGACACAACGACACGACACAACCACCATGACACTAATGACACAACGACACGACACAACCACCACGACACAAGTAACCAAGACACTAATGACACAACGACACGACACAAACCACCACTGGACACTAATTGACACAACGACACGACACAATAACCATGACACTAATGCACACAACGACACGACACAAACCACCATGACACTAAGTGACACAACGGAACACGACACAACCACCACGACACTAATGACACAACGACACGACACAACCACCATGACACTAATGACACAACGACACGACACAACCACCACGACACTAATGACACAACGACACGACACAATAACCAAGACACTAATGACCCACAACGACACGACACAACCACCACGACACTAATCACAACGACACGACACAACCACCACGACACTAATGACACAACGACACGAACACAACCACCATGACCACTAATGACACAACGAACACGGACACAACCACCACGACACAAATGACACAACGACACGACACAACCACCATGACACTAATGACACAACGACACGACACAACCACCATGACACTAATGACACAACGACACGACACAACCACCATGACCACTAAGACCCAACGACACGACACAATACCATGACACTAATGACCCACACGACACGACACAACCACCATGACACTAATGACACAACGACACGACACAACCACCACGACACTAATGACACAACGACACGACACAAGTAACCAAGACACTAATGACACAACGACACGACACAAAAACCACCATGACACTAATGACACAACGACACTGACACAAACCACCATGACACTAAATGACACACGACACGACACAACCACCACGACACTAATGACACAATGACACGACACAACCACCACGACACTAATGACACAACGACACAACGACAACCAACCACGACACAAAATGCACGCAACGACACGACACAACCACCATGACACTAAATGCGACCACAACGACACGACACAACCACCATGACACTTAATGACACAACGACCACAGACACAACCACCACGACACCAAATGGACCACAACGACACGGACACAACCACCATGACACTAAATGACACAACGGACACGACACAACCAACCACGACACTAATGACACAACGACACGACACAACCACCATGACACTAATGACACAACGACACAACGACACGACACAACCACCATGACACTAATGACACAACGACACGACACAACCACCACGCAACACAACCACCATGACACTAATGACACAACGACACGACACAACCACCACGACACAAGTAACCAAGACACTAATGACACAACGACACGACACAACCACCATGACACTAATGACACAACGACACGACACAACCACCATGACACTAATGACCCACAACGACACGACACAACACCATGACACTAATGACACAAA